AGTATGTAGTGTGTATGATACTAAATTGTGATTTGGTGGGACTTACATAACAGCTTTCAACATCTGAAGACAGTGGTTCTTGATATCCTCTTAAGGAAAATTTGCCTACAAATTTGAAGCTGGAATGTCACTGGAATAACTTTACTGGAATCACTAGACTTGGCTTTTTAAATTTTTGGTACATATGTTAAGAATTGGGTACAAATTGAAATGTCTCTACTGATCCTTGACACAACCAATAAATCTCAATTACAAAACTGAAAAAAAAAAGTAATCGTAACAGGTGGCATGGTGGTTAAGGCACTGGACTCCCATACGGCCAGCTGCAGTTTGAGTCCTGGGCCTGATGGCTTAAAACTCATGCTGGGCACCTGTGCGTGCATGCCAAAAATCCCAGGAGGAATAAAGAGAAAAGACTGCGGCATGGCCATTTCCCCTGGAGGTGGTGATTTCTTACTTTCCCTCTCACTATCTCTCTCCGACAAGTGCACATGCCCCAAAGCAAAAAAAAAAAAAAAAAGGTAACTACATTTGTGGACAAATGTATACATATTACACTATATTACCCAGGTAAGGTTAAATACTATTTTTTTTTTTTTGAGAGATTCAAAGTAGGGCGCGTGCGCTCGCCAGACAGACAGAAAGAGACAGAGAGACAGAAAGCGAGAAATCACCCCCCAGGGGGGATGGTCACGCCACAATCCCTTCTCTTCCATTCTCCTCTCGGGATCTTGGGCACGCACGTACACGCACCCGGCGTGAGTTTTAAGCCACCGGGTCCGGGACACGAACCGCAGTCGACTACGTGGGAGTCCAGCGACATAGCCATTACGCTAACTGCTGGTTCCCAGGTTAAATACTATTTTGATCTGTCAATTATAAAGGCTTTTTTACTACTCAATTTTGTACAATTTCAGACATCTGGAAATACATAAGACTATCTGCTATGGAAAAGTAACAGATTTTTCATTAATAGTAACAGAGATTTTTTAAAAGAGAAGAATTAAGAAAGGAGAAAACCACTAGCTTACCTTGGAGAACCATGTAGATTAGTGCCAGAGCTGGCAGGAGATGTAAGATTCTGCTCGATGCGCTGGTAATTCCTTATCTGAGTGGGAACAGGAATCGGTGCTGTTTCGCTGTGAGGTGACACAGTGGGTTGACACTGCCTACAACCATATTTTATTGAGAAAAGAAAGATGCATCACAAAGATTGCTTTTTTCATTTGACCCATTAAGTGCTATTTAGAGATAATTCTAGAAAAAGCCAAATGATCACTTCTGTATGTGAATGAGAAATGACATTGTTAAAAAAATACTTCGTAAGCAAAGAACTAGATCTGTCATCTAAAGAACTCCCCTGGCATTTATATACATACTGAGGACTACAAATTGTAACCGTAATCTTGAAGAAGATTCCTCTATAGGTTAGCAAAACTATTTCATCCACTCACATTCGGATACTCATTACTACGTGAGCAGAAAATATTATTTCTAGGAAAATATGCTGGGTAAAAGAACAGGAAGTTCAAGAGCAAAGATGACTGGAATGTTTATGCAGCTTATGAGTGCAGGAAGCTTTCCCTGAGAACTCGGACTCTGTGAAGACTGAAAACACGCTGCCTCTCTCTGAGCACACACCCGACCCCAGCTCCGCATTATGAAGTGCCACATTTGGCTTAGCAGCCTGTCTCCTCACTTTTTATCAATTCAGAAAGCACATGTCCCTAGATGACTCTTCACTCATAACCTACCCTGGAACAACTGTAGATAATATCGGGCCATAAGATAATATATTCCACTCTTCTGTCTTTCTATAATTTTTTTAAAGCCACATGAATTTCACACTTTTTCCTAACTACATTACAGATATGAGACTGAATATTTAGTCACTCAAACAAGTGAAATGATTATCTCCTAAAATGTCACTTCAGGACTTTCAGACCCATGAGCATGTCTTATATTTAGATAAACGGAAGTCTCGGCGGCAGCAGAGGCAGCAGAGGCAGCAGAGGCGCGGGCTGCTTTCCCACTACCTGCCCACTGCTCTCACTAACAGAACTCAGGTTTCCTGGGGCAGTGGCGGGGGAAAAACAAAACCCAGACTCTCCGGGAGCCCAGGGCAGCACCTTGTCTTTCCCGTCAAGGAGCTGAGTGGAGGTCTTCTGTTCCTCCCCTCTCCTCCTCCCTGCCCAGAGGGTGAGTGTGCTTGCTGGAGATTCAGCAGCAACCTTGGAACCACAAAGAAAGGCCAAGAGAATTGGGGACACTAACTTCCTCCGGTCTGAGGAAGGAAGGCAACAACTATTTATCTTGATCTCTTTTGTTCTAAGAACGCTGTTCCCGGTACTACGGTCAGGACCCTGCAGTTTGCAACCCAGTGGAATTCCTAAGGACACTCCATTCAGAGTGCTTCTACAGCTCTCTCTTATTTTTCCATTTAGGTATTTCCATTAAGTATGATTCAGATACAATGACTTCTGTTAATATCTATACATCTGACTCTTAAACTTACCTGCACCCTGAAAACAGAAAAAGAATCAAAACCAAAACCAAACCAAACCCTCTAAACCCTCAAAACTAAAACCACCTGACTTCAGCAGCCAGCTCTGGCGCCTACACGCCTGGGCAACCACCGGCCCGACAGCCTAAACTCTTGCCAGAGAACGAGCGGCAGTCACTGCGTTTCGAGTGAGCATGGACACAGCCGTCTGTCCACTGTCTCAGTGTCCTAGGAAATACAAAGTACATGAGGGGATCTGCTTTAACTCACACACCGGCGAGTCCTAATATTCCTCCTGTACTTGTTCATCTCCAAAGAGAAGCTGGGGAAACAGAGTCCTTCAGGGCCGTTTTCCTGGTGTAAGGGTAATACACTGCTCGGGAGAGGCGGGATCCCACATGGTGACCACAACTGGCATCCCTGGCCCCGTCGGCCTGCAACGCGCTGGCCATGCGTGGAGTGCTCGCTGACAGGCTCGCGGTCCAGAGGAGAGGGCCTGAAGCACGGCCAGATCCCCGTGGAGGGCTCTCCTCTCCCTCTCTCTCTCTCTCTCTCTCTCTCTCTCTCATATGTGTACTCTGTCATGCACTCCGTCATGCATAAAGAAAAAGATACTTCCTAAAGAAGTAAAGTTAGCAACCTCATAAATTGTAGCACCTGTCAGGGAAGCCCAGCTGACGTCTCTAATGTCTCTGCCTTCTCTCCTACCAGCACATTCAGAGATGAATAGCCAGTGTCCTGTAAATGTCTCAGTCTCTGGACATGTCCCCCAATTTCCTGCTAGGAAAAGCCACTGCAGCCTTTTCCCCAGGATCCCTGTGTGGACCCACAAGGAGCACAGGAAGACCACGCGGTCTGAGCACACGGCAGCACAGCCACATCGTGCTCCCTACTCCTACCAACACTTGAGGCGCACAGGGCAAAGGACAAGCAGACCAGGTGACAGCACAACCTCTTCAGCTTCCGTCTTTGCACCCAGAGACCCCCAGGTGCCTCAGCTTTAGGAAGTCTGCATGAGTGAATCTCAGTTTACTCCCAAGGAAGCAGGATGGCAGGGACATGGGGAGACTGTATGCCCGTGGACACAGGGAGGGTCAAAGGGAGGTTCTAGATGCAGATGTTCCTGTGAGGCCCGACCTGCAGCCAAAATGCCGAGCCAGGATGGGAGCTCACGCTCCACGGGCTAGGAGAGAGGTGGGCAGCCAGCGGGGACAGCGGCTCAGCACCCAGGAGAAGGGGCAGGGCTGTGGAGGGAGACCATCAGGCTGGGAGAGAGGTGGGCAGCCAGCCGGGACAGCGGCTCAGCACCCAGGAGAAGGGGCAGGGCTGTGGAGGGAGACCATCAGAAAGGCGGACGTCCTCTCCGAGACGACGCGTTCCCAGGCTTTCACACCTTCGCACTGGCTGCCCTTCCTTGGGCCACCTCGGGCTCCTTTCCAGCCTCTCCTATAGTATGATGCTTTCACTTTCTTTCTCTCACTGACGAGTGCATTTCCACCTAAAGAGAACTTCCTAGTCACAGCTCCTACAAGCCCGTCTCCAGTCCATGCAGGAATGCCGGTGCACCCAGCCGGAGAGCAGGCACGGGCGGGGAGTTAGACTGGTTATCCCCAGCCACTGCAGGCTGATGGAGGCCTGCTACGCACACAGCCCACGTACGCCAGTTCCTCAAAAATTACACATAAAATTTCCGCATCATCAAGCAATCTCACTTCTAGCTATATATCCAAAAGCACTGAAAACAGAATCTTGAAGAGAGATTTACACACTCATGTTCACAGTAGTGTAATTCACAACAGCCAAGAGGCAGAGCAACCCAAATGCCCATTGATGGATGAATGGATAAGCAAAATGTGGTATATCATATGATGGATTATTATTCAGTCATCGAAAGGAAGGACATCTGTCAGCAGGTTACAACATAGACAAGCCTTGTAGACAGAATGTTAAGTGAAATAAGCCAGTCACAAAAAGAGAAATACTGAATGATCTCACTTACACGGGATATCTAAAGTAGTCAATGGCATTTACTAGGGCCTTGGGAGAAGGGGAAACAGGGGTGGTTACTGTATAAGTAGAAGGCTTCAGTTTTATAAGATGAAAAAATTAGACTTAAAAATGGTTTGAGGGGCTGGTGGTGGTGGTTAAGGCTCTGGACTCCCACATGGTCGACCACAGTTCAGGTCCAGGACCTGGCAGCTTGCTGTCTAACTGTCTCTCTCTTCTGTCTCTGGCTCTCTGTCTCTCTCTGCCTCCCCATGGTCAAACTGAACAATAATAATAATAAATTAAAATAATTTTAAAAGTCTCTTTATAGTAGATTTTATGTGATTTTTATAACAATTAAAAATTTTGTTTGTTTGCTATTGGTCGCATGTTCCCACCAGAGACAGAGACAGAGAGAGAGAGAGAGGGAAAGTGAGAAATCACCCCCCAAGAGAGGATGGCCACATCACAATCCCTTCTCCTCTATCCTCCTCTCAGAATTGTGGGCATGCACGTCCACATGCCTAATGAATCACAATTAAAAATGTTTTTTATAAGAAAGGAAATGATATGGGCCAGCAGGTGGCATCATAGTTAAGGTGCTGGACTCCCACATGGCCTACCACGGTTTGAGTCCTGGGCCTGTGGTGTGCTTTCTCATTTTCTCTCTCTCTCTCTCTCTAGTAATCAAAAAGGGGAAAAATTATTAATAAAATTAAGTAATTCTTCTACAAAAAATAAAAAAGGAAGTGATAAATTGTTGAGCCAAATAAATCAAGAGCACAAAGTTTTATTACTGTATTCAGAAAAGTAACAAAATAAGAGACTTTTTTTTTGCGAGACTCTGTAAACATACCCTCCACACACCAGGAACTCATTGGAAGCACGTCTGCCCGCTGTTCCCATTGGCATGTCATCTGAAAGGGAAAGATGTATTTGTTATTCCACCTGCTCAAGGGACACACACTTGTCCCAACATGGCTGTCGGCAACAACCTGAAAACACCATCTATCATTTGTTTACGTGTGATTCTACCCACGAGGAACGGGCTGAACATACAGGCTGCAGCTTTCCGACGCTCACCGCAGTACGCAAAGCTCAGGTGTTCCCAGAGGAACTGCTGAATTCACGGCTTGTCTGTGTACGTCTCCGCCTGCTAACGTGTGCACAGACTGCTACTGTTTTCATCGGGTCCCTTTCCATGTGTCACTGACAAAGGTTTTGAGTGTGCTGCCCTTCCATTTGCCCGTAAGTTCTGTCGTTTTTATTACGCATTTTGCAGAGGACTCATGTAAGCACATCGCACCAGAAAGGCTGTATAGCAAGGCCTGGCTCGGCCTCATGCTGGAGTGCCCATAAGTCTCTAGGGTCCTGCACAGGTTGTCACCTGGAAGCCGGGGCCTCTTGGACACAGTGGCACACATGACAGGTGACCTTCGCCTACCATGTCATCTGCACGTGGGATGACGAGTGTACAGATCTCAGGGCCCCCGTTCCCTGTCACTGGTCCATCACTGTACTACAGCACCCGGTGTCATCTGAAATGGCTATGAAGGCCCAAAGAGCATGTGTTGAATGGAGTACTGACCTAGTAATAAACCTTCACAAATAAAATAAACTATGCTGCTAGCCTACACTCTAAAGGGGTGGGGAGGTAACGGCCACATAAATCATTTTGAATGGCCCTGAAAGGAAACTGAGACATGGATTTTTTGTGCAAGCATCAGGCCCTGGTCTCATGAAATTTTACATTCTAGTCGTAAAAGAACACAATAATATGAAGCAATGAGAAAACGTATAAAGGAAAGTAATCAGGACAGGAGAACAAAGAGTAGCTATTTTTTGTTTGTTTTGCCATAGGGCACATACCCTCACTGGAGACAGAGAGAAACACTGAAAGGCAAGATGAGAAATCATCCCTGAAGGAAATGGAGGAAAAGGGGTTGCGGGAGGAGTCTATTTTTAAGGATAACAAATAGTTGCCTACAGGCGAATGGAAGAAACCACACAGGAGGAGGAGGCAGGGAGAGAAACCAGTGTATTCCATTTTGTAGCTTTGAGTTTGGAGCCATTCATAACGCTAAGACAAAATAAAATCAAAAGAAAAAGAACCCCTAGGGACCAGCAGTTAGCTAGCTATGTTGCTGGACTCCCATGTAGTCAACTGCGGTTCGCATCCTGGACCCGGTGGCTTAAAACTCACACCGGGCGTGTGTGCCTGCCTGCGTGCCCACCCAAGATCCTGAGAGGAGAACAGAGAAGGGATTACAGCGTGGCCATCCCCCCTGGGGAGTGATTTCTCACTTTCTGTCTCTCTGGCAAGAGCACGTGCCCTATAGCAAAAACCTCTCAAAAAAAAAGAACCCCTAGAAACCAAGAGTAAAATGAGATAAAAGAACCTAAGCATGGAACCAGGAGGTGGTATAGCGGTCATGTTGCTGGACTCTCAAAGTCTACTGCAGTTCGAGTCCCAGACCCGGTGACTTAAAACTCACACGGGGCACGTGTGAGTGCATCCCGATGACTTAAAACTCACATGGGGCACGTGTGAGTGCATGCTCAAAATCCTGAGAGGAGAATGGAGGAAAAAGGACTGTGACATGGTCATCCCCCCTGGGGAGGTGATTTCTTGCTTTCTGTCTCTCTGTCTCTCCTGTAAGCTCATGTGCCCTATAGCAAACCCCCGCGCCCCTGCAAAAAAAAAAAAAAAAAAGGAACCTGACCATATACCAACTTCACCACCACAGGGAAATTCTTCCAAGTGACTTTAAAGCTCAGTCATTTGATTGCATATACCTAGTGGGATTATGCAAAGGACAAAAGACCCACAACAATATTTTAAAAGGCTTTTACTAACTACCGGCTAGCCAGGTGGCTTGGAGGCTAAGGCAACTGGATCCCATATGGCCAACTGTATGGTTCGAGCTGGGTGAATGTATGTGTGTGCCCAAAATCTAAGACACTGGAGACCAGCAGGTGGCATGATGGTTAAGGCACTGGACATTCCCAAATGGCCGACCAGGGTTCGAGTCCTGAATCTGGTAGCTTGCTTTCTCACTTCCTCTCTCTCTCACTCTCACCCTCTATCTCTCTCTATGGTAAAACTAAAAAAA